CAATTAAGCCTCTGGTTTGTGCTGATTGTTAAAATCTATTCGTGGATTTCAGATTGGTGCAAAGTAGTGCTCTTAGTTTCTGGTTCATGCATGTTGGTCCTCTGATTGTTTGCTTTGACAAATAAGTCCTTTAATTTTACTGAGAGTGCAATTTGGTTCTTAAGTTTGTGGGTTTGTTCAATTTTGTTCATGTTGTGGAGAGATGTTCCGAAATTATTATAGCCATGAATATGTGGATGATTTCGATCAAGCAAGATATCGAAAGAGTCAAAGAAAATATTATTATGATTATGATCGAAAAAAGAAACTATAGCTGAGGATATGGATTCCGAACTAACTTTTGTGATAATCATGATGATGCTTTTGGTCAAATGAATCAAGGTTATAAAGATATGAAGGAAGAAATCGCAAAGATCAATGAGAAACTTTCTTGTATACTTGATTCGTTTCAAAATAAACAAGCACTACCTAAAAAAGTGACCTAAGACGTAACCAAAAAAAGTGACCAAGAAAGTAACTGAAGAGGACACTGAGAATGTGTCCCAGGAAGTGATCGAGGAGACAGATGAAAATGTCACCGAGGAGCGAGTTCAGAAGGAGCTTGAGGAGGTCACGAAGAAGGTGTCCAAGGAGGTGCTTCAAAAGGCCGTGTCTAAAGTTCAATCCATTCCAGTTAATAAATGCAAAGAGCCTAGTCTTTTGCCACAATTTTCCGAAGTTGAGCATATAGGTTTTGTGTTTGGCGATTTATTTTCAACAAAGGCTCAGGTTCTTCATCCATTACACACCGTTTTCAATCTTTTTGGTATAGCGTTTCACAAGATGGAAAATGAAAGATCAAGGTATTGGCTTCTTCCTTTGTTACTATATGCTCCAAGATTCGAAAACGAATATTTTTAGGAAAGGGGGAGTGATACGATTGTAGATCGACCGCTAGGTATTATTCCAAACCATGATGATCACTATATTGATTTTGATTTTATAATGGTTGGTTTTAGTCTTTGTTGTGTTAACTTCAAAGAAGATGACAAGGTTGTAAAGATGCATCCAGTCCAAGATGAGTCTAGCGAGCTGAGATCTTCCGTGGAGTTCCCTATATGCTATGGTGCAGATTCGATGACAAATTTTTTTGAGGAAACAGGGAATGATGTGGATTTACGGGGTTTAAGACCTCTTGAAAACCCTAATCACTTTTACGAAGTTTGCGGTAATTTTTGTTGTAATGTTTTTACTCGTTATCGGTAATTTTCAATTACAAGAGTTTTACTTGTAATAGAAGTAGTTTTTTTTTAATTGCTTTCCTAGCAGGATTTAATTTAAATATTTTCCAAATACAATTATGGTTTCCTTGAATTTTGGTTTTGCTTTGTAAAGGCCCGTTTATCCCTATAAATAGGGGTGTTTGGCCAAATTTTAATTAGATATGTGATTTGATGAATTTGACGATGATTTGATAAGAACGACTGAAGTTCTTTTTGTGCTAATCTTGGTGATCACCTTTTTATGTGCATAAGCTTGAATTTGGTTTCTTGCAAACTCCGCGGCTACCCTTGTTCGAGATTTGGTGTTTCTCAACTTGGATGCTAAGCTTGTGGTACTCTTGGAACAAATCAATGAGTTCATATCGCGAGGTGGGAATTTAATTGACACATTTTGATAGGGTTTGTTTCAAAAACACTTCTTCCATCTTCTTGTCTACCATATTTTATTATTTGCCATTCGATTCATCCTTGAATCAAAATATCCTGGAGTCGTTGGTTGTCTTGGCAATTTATAGGTGGAACAAGAGAAAGTCTTGGTGTTGTAATTTGAAACAAGCTTTGCGCAGTTATAGTCGTGCTCTGTTGAATTGCAAGATTGATATCATCCTCTTTGGTATCTGGGTGGATGGTGAGCTAGTGTACGGGGAGACAGTCAACCTAAATGAAGAGCAATGACTGTCGAAATGTGAGACTTTTTTGGGATTCACTCCAGCCGATGTAGTGGTAGCTTTGTCAAGGTTCAGATTTTCGAGGATGAGATGAGAAGTGCACTCCCTCAGGGTTCCCCAGTTGAGCGACTCGAGCAAAAGACCCGGACAATAATCTTGTATTTTTTGTCCAGTTTTATGTTTCCGGGCAAGAGTCAAAACACTGTAAATCTACAGATGCTGACCCATGTGGAGGATTTGGCGCAGTGTAGTCGATACAGTTGGGGATCGGCCCTGCTTGCTTGTTTGTACTCTGGCCTGTGTGAGCAACCCACTACGACATGCACGACATCACTGGCTGTGTATTTGCTACAGGTAGTATTAGTTTTCATTACGTGTTATGATTTTTTTTGTTTTCGGTATTATAATTTGAACTGTTAACATTATTATTAAAATTTACTGGATATGGGCGTATGATCGGTCTCGAGAATTGCACCACATAGAGTAGCACTAGATTATATATTCGATGAGACCGCTCCATTAGCTCAACGATGCGTATTTTCATTTCAAAATAACTTAATGTTTACCCTAATTTTTTCTTATTCATTTTTTTAATAATTAAAATGTAACCCTTTCGTGTTTGTTCATTAAGGTGGGAATGTTCGTGCACCTATGAAGACGTCCCAAGGAGCAGCTTGGCATCTGTTAGAGATCAATTAACAAGCATGTGTATTGGAGATGTAGGTACTTAGTTTGGTATTTATATTTATTTTGAATTTTTTTTCCAATTATACCATTTAAATAAATTCATTTTGTGCAGTTTCAGTGGCAACCAAATGCAAGCGTCCTTCCTGCTCTCCCTAATTTCTGTAAACAAGGCCAAGCCATTTGGACGATTAGATGCTGGATGTTCTGTTGGGCTATTAGGGAACCCTACGAGTCGTCCAGAGTAGTGAGACAATTTGGATACATACAGGGTATTCCCCGTGACCCTATCATTAAAGATCTTGCAGCATTTTGACTTATCACGCCCACAGCATGTCTGGCCTACCTAGTACCAATTAGGTGACTCACCATTCCCAAGTACGTCCTCACTGGAACCGGAGAGCATGCTATTTCCAAATGATTTGAAGCTTGGATTCCTGAGCCAAATAACAGAGGACTACTATGAATGGTTCATGAGGAATATTGTCAAGCTTATATCCAATCCGAAACATTATGAAACTAAAGGATATGAGACTTTTTCGAGCCGAGTGAAATTATATGTGAGTTCATTTTTTTTTATTTTTCTTACATTTTCCTTTTTTTTTGTATATTTCTCTTCTAATTAACTTTTTAAATTTTTTTTTTCTAAATTAACGTTCCAATTTTTTTTTAGGGTGTAGTATTGGACAACATTCGCATGAATGCCGAGCAATTTAGAGATGAACGTAAAGACAAATATCTCCTAGACAGTCAACTCGAGGAGGCTTTGAGTGATATCGTAGATCAAGCACATGTTGCTTTAATTCTGAGCCCAAATGATGAGATAGACATAGACGACACACAAATCTTGGTTGATGATGAGCCGACTCAGCCCTCACAACCTGTGCCGGGCAAAAAAGTGAAGTCGTGGCCGAGAGATAAGTTTGGAAGAGGAAGAAAGTGAAAAATAGTGATTCCCTCAGGGCCATCGCAAATACAAAATGAGGGTGAGGGTGTTCAGGTAATCAACAAGAAGAGCCTGAGCGCGAGGTTTCTTCTTCGGCCTTACAAATTCATGTCGAGTTTCCAAACAATGGTCAAGAATCGCAACCACAGCCGAGAGTCCTATATCTCACCATGGGAGAGCCCCAACCCCAACCCCAACCTCAACCTCGTCTACAACAAGATTCAATACTCACGTATCTTCGGAGTGAAGAGAGGACCCGGAACCCGACGAATACATATACTCCGGATCCCTTCAGGAAAGGAAAAGGAAAAAAATGAGCCCGTTGATGTATTTTTATCATTTTGTTATTGGATTGATTTTGTTAACATAGTGACTTGTTATGTATTTTGATGAATATTCGTATCTCTTAACTTTAATCAAATGAAGTTTATTGCTTTTGATGTTAGATTTCTATTTTTGTAACGTGCAGTAGTTGTTGGTGCTGTTAAAACAGGTTTTGGACTGGTTAAAACCAGTTCAATTTTTTTTTTCAATTTTGACAGGGATACAGATTAGGAAAATCTGAAATCCTCCTTTTCGTAAAGGACTCGGATTTTGAAAATCTGAATTAATGTGCTCCGGGAGTTCCAGTTTCTCAAAGAAAAAAGAGAGATCCGAATTTCGGAAATCTGTAGTTACCTTAAGTCGGATTTACGTAATCCGAGTTACACCAATAAATATTTTCCAACACTTATAATTTTTTCATCCCTCAGAAAATATTTTATTAATTAGTTCGGATTTATGGAATTTGAATTCATATTAATTACACTAAACCCTATTATTATCTTAATTTTAGTTTCACTTAAAACTAAATCGGATTTCTATAATCCGAATTTATAGTGTTCCAGATTTCAAAAATCGGACTGCTTCCCTCATTCGGATTTCGAAATCCGATGCACACAATTTTGTCCACATAATTTCTGAAAGACTTGTTTTTTGTCCAGGTCCTTGAGGTGCAAACACATTTAAGTAAAAAGCTCAAATGAAATGCAAGATAAAAGCGGTACATCTACAAAATGACAAGTACAGGATAACAATTATCATGGGATTACCAAACCAAATAGCATTACGTTCTATAAAATCAACAAAATTGACTAGCCATATCTCTAATCTTAAGTTTAGTTTCCACATCGATAATTGGATTTGATTATTAATAGATGTAACATGGATTCTTTCTACATTGAATAAAATTTAACAATAATTAATTTGGTCAATCTCAAATCATAATCAATGCGGAAGAAAATATATTATTTTAGCGCCAATACAGGTGTTGGATAGTCATATGATAGAGAAATTTACTGAACACTATCGTTGACTACCAGACTTTTCGAGCCTGCAAAAATAAATAAATGTATGAAAGCTAACTATCTAATGGAGTAATATCATATTCATTTCACAAACCTTTTCATCAAGAAGTGATGTATCTAATCAGTTAATACCTTTCTTATTAACTACTCTTCTCTTACTGCTGAAAGTCAACGACAACCAATCTTGATAAATGGAGATAGCAGATCATGACAGAGAGATGAATTGCTTGAACATGGAAACTTTCATGGTCAACTTCATTCTTTTCTCTGCTTTCATAGCATTTCTAACATTATTGCTGTTGAAGGGATCCTAATCGGCCCAGAAGAAGCTACCTCCATCCCCATGGAAGTTGCCCATAATTGGACATTTGCATCATTTGAATGGTTCTCCACCCCACCATGCTCTCAGAACATTATGCCAGAAATATGGTGCTCTGATACACTTACAGCTGGGAGAAATTCCTGCAATCCATATATCATCGCCCCTATTAGCCAAAGAGGTAATGCGAACTCAAGATGTTGCTTTTGCTAACCGGGCTGCATTCTTGACAGGGAAAATCATGTGCTATGACTGTACAGATATTGCTTGCGCTCCCTATGGTGAGTACTGGAGACAAATGCGCAAAATCTGCACCTTGGAGCTCCTCAGTGCTAAAAATGTCCGGTCATACACCTGGATCAGGCAGGATGAAGCTTTAAATCTCATCAGATCTATTAAAGCTCTTGTAGGTAGTTCTACACCAATTAATTTGACAGAGAAATTGGCCCAATATACTAGTTCCATGGTGGTCAGGGCAGCATTTGGCAAAGTTAGCAAAGATGACCAGAATGCATTCTTAAAGCTTATCAAGGAATCATTGCCTTTTGCCAGTGCCTTTGACATTTCTGATCTGTTCCCATCTCTAAAGATTCTCCATCCTTTCCTTTCTATCAAGGGTGAAGTGATGGAGTTCCACCGAAAGCTGGACACTGTGTTGGACAACATTATCGAACAGTATCTCAATGACAACTTCCGGAGATCAAAAGCCTCCTCTTCGGGTGAGCCCGGTAATGAAGATCTAATCGATGTTCTACTGAGAGTTAAGGATAGCAGTGAATTTCAACTTCCAATTACAAAAAATAACATCAAAGCTGTGCTCCTGGTAAGTTTGATAAACCGTATGTTCTCTTTTAGAATCCTAACTCATGCATTCTAATAGAGTTTATGTCTCATAAATGTTCTCTGCAACAATAAAGACCAGTAAACAATATTTTAGAGCCTCTAGACCACTTGTAATTACTTCGATTTTGAATGAATTGTTAGCCCTTAGACACGTTCAACTTTAAATGATAACTCAATTTCTATATATGCAGGATGTATTTACTTGGGGAACCGAAACTTCATCATCGACTGTTGAGTGGGCAATGGCTGAGTTGATTAGACATCCTGAGGTAATGGCTAAACTCCAGAATGAGATCAGGACAGCTCTCAGGGAGAAGGAAACAGTTGAAGAGGCTGACATTCAAGAATTGGGATACTTAAAATCAGTGGTTAAAGAAACTCTCAGGTTACACCCTCCAGTTCCACTCCTGGTTCCAAGAGAAAGCAGGGAACAAACTGAGATTGATGGTTATATCATCCCTGCCAAAACCCGAGTCTTGGTTAATGCCTGGGCGATAGGAAGAGACCCTGAGTCTTGGGATGATCCAGAGAGTTTCAAACCAGAGAGATTCGAGAAAAGTGACACAGATTTCACAGGAAATCATCTCGAGCTTATACCGTTTGGTGCTGGAAGAAGAATGTGCCCAGGAATATCTTTTGGTCTCGCAAATGTCTATCTTCCACTGGCTCTTTTACTCTACCATTTTGATTGGAAACTTCCAAATGGCCTTAAACCGAAGGATCTAGACATGGCAGAGACTGTCAGCATAACTGCATCACGAACAAATCCACTTCTCTTGATCGCAACACTGTATGAACCTTCCCTTTAATAGTACAGCCAAAACTCTCGCAAAAATCTTTGGTGAAGTGAGAAATCCTCGCAGCCATGTACAATGGCCGTTAATATCATCTTCTTATGAGTTTCATTTGTGATGAGAATTGCTTTGCTTCACACATATGTATCATCTATTTCCCTCTCGGATTGCTATAAGACTACATGTGCACATAATGTCATCAACTTGAATGGCAAACTAGAAGAATGATACATATTCTCTATGTTGGAGAATATGATACTTCGCCCTTATATAGCTTAGTCGATTTCTTATCTTTTGATATGTGATGAGTCCATATCCGTCACCCCCAGTGGACCGGCCCATTACTCAGCCCATTACTCGATCCTAGGGTTTAACCGCCTCTAGTATGGGGGCATATTATTACTAACCCTAGTAGGAATCAGATGTTGGTGAGGTCTATAAATAGGGACCATTATTTCACAATAAAGGTACGCAATCCTGACTATCAAATTAATATAGACGCAACCCTATTTTCTGACTTAAGTTTCGGAGTGTCTACCCTCGGGAGACGCCCGAGGTTCTGTTTTGCCAGAAACCCTAACCGGAGTTCCACCCTACACCGGCGGTATAATTCCAAGTATCGTCAAGTGGCACGCCCAATCCAGTGCTGCATCAACTAGAAGACAAACAAGCCACTAGGACGGTGAAACTCTGGCACACTTCCGATGGAGGCAGAAACGAAAAAGGAACGACCGACAAACCAAGAAAGAGACCATTCCTGTCAAACCAACCGATCAAAATCGTCACCGTGAAACCCCCGATCCATACCATAAACAACGGTTGGCCGAGATCGAAGCGGAACTGAAAAAGTTGAAGGATGATAACTCCCTTAACCAAAGAAAAAAGAAATATATCCTCGAGGAATATAAACGCTACTGTTTGTTAGGTCTTCCAGACCCAACGGAACAAGAAATGGAGGAGTTGGTCGAGAAAAAAGAGGCAAGAAGGACCCTGGATCTCCTCGAGATCAGAAGAGGCAAACGTCCAGCCCCAAATGAGGGGACTCCTCGTAAAGAAACCCCCTATCGAGAAGCTTCTTGTGCTGAACCTTCCGAGGCCCCCGGCGATACTTTCTGGGAAGCACTCGAGAAGACAAACCCGATGGTTTATCAGGCGATTCAGCAGTTTGCACTGGAGCACGAACAGAAGAAACAATCTACAGACAAGATCAACGACGATCACCCAGCGTCGAGGAATTGTCTAAAAGAGAGTGGGAGCCTCTGAGAAACAATGTCCACTCTCGACTGGGACCAAAGGGGGCACCGAAAAAATCCCATCATGACTATCGTTGAGGAGAAGACCCCCCACCTCGAGATCAAGAGAATCGAGGTAACCAGAATCCTTCGATTCGAGACTCAATGCGGAGGATGATAGGGATGATCGTGGACCGAAGCCCTTTCATCCCTATGATTCGAGACTGTCTGAAACCTAAAGACTTCGACTTCCCCAAAGACTTCACCTGTTATATAGGAGATTCTAATCCGCAGCGATTTTTCAACAAATACGTGCAAGTCATGAGAATCCGTAACGCGTCTCTTGACTTCATGGCAAAGGCTCTACCATCGTTCCTCGACGGGCAAGCACAACAACGTTGGTTTGGACAGTTGCCGGTAGGAAGCATCGACAGCTTTGAGGATCTCACGGTAAAACTAGCCACCAAGTTTTTCCTCAGCAAGCAAGTCACAAAAATGTCCATTGATCTATCTTCCATAAGACAAGGACATAATGAGAGCCTCTCGGATTTCCATCGCCGCTTTACCAGTGAATCTCTCCAAATTGACAACCTCAATGATAGAGATGTGAGGAATGGCTTCATCCAAGGACTCAACCCTTGGGGAAAGTCCACCCCCCTGCGAGTAAAATTAATCACTAAACCTCCACGGAACACACAAGAGATGTGGGCCACAGTGGAAAGCTATATCCAACGGGAACAGACACTGAAGAATTCCCAGGAGTCTTTCTCACTTGCAGGGGAGCGAGGGGGGAAGGACAGATATAAATCCCTCACTGAAAGCAAACCTTCACTACCCAGGCTCGACAGATTACTCACTCCATTGATAAAGCCTTGAAGGGAGATACTCCAAATCCATAAGGACAAGTTCCCAATCCCAAAGCCATTGACTCATAATCCGAATAGGTCCACGGATCGGTATTGCAAGTACCACAAGGACCATGGGCATAACACGGAGGATTGTCGGGAGCTCAAGTGGGAAATTGAAGCAGGGGTGAAGTCCGGTAAATTCCAACAGTATGTGCAGAACACGCAAGGCACCGCTCGAGGAGATACCCGCAGTTCCCGAGAAAAACCCGGCCCCCCCGCAACTTCCCCACGCGAAACAACAATCCTGGTTCTCGCAGAGACAACCAAGGAAATAATTGGCAACCGAGGGATACCTCACAGCAACTGGTCTAGCCAGCTCTCGACAACAAACCACAGCCAATACAACAAATACCTCCCCTCGACCCTGCTAAGCAGATTACCCACAATGTTGGAGCGATTTATGGAGCACCTCTCGAGGTCCTCTCGACCACGGCAATGAAAGCCTATGTTCGACAAGTAACAAAAACCCCACCGCAAGAGCCAAGTCACAAGCGGTTTAAAGGAACCAAGGCAATTGTCTTCACTAATAGTGACGTCGTCCCCGACATTTGTCCCCACAGCGATGCCATGGTTACCGATGCCATCATAGGTAATGTGGGGGTAAGTCGTGTGTACGTCGACAATGGCAACGCAGTCAATATCATCTACAATGATTGTTTCAAGAGAATGAATATACAGAATCCAGATTGGCGCCCGGCTACCTTAGCATTGATGGGCTTCTTTGGGCACACGATAATCCCAAGTGGGATCGTCAGGCTTCCAATCACAGTAGGGACGTATCCTTGAACGGTAAATCTAACAATGGATTTCACCATAATCGATGCTCCCTCGCCATTCAATGTGATTCTAGGACGGCCATGAATATGCCAAGCTCACGCTGTCTGGTCACCTTATCACTTGGTCATGAAGTTCTCAACGGAATATGGGATAGGAATAGTTCAAGGATGCCAACGCAGCTCTCGAGAATGTCTTCTCATGGTAGTAAAAATTTGAAAGAAAACAGTAAAGCCAGAGCTAGCCGTTACAGCATCAGGGTGCTACTCTATTCGGCAAGGCGTGTCGAACGCCGAGTCTAATGAGAGGAAACAAGAGATCTCAGACATGGATCTCAAACAAAACCCCCCGCTTAGCAGCAAGACGGAAGAGTTGATCTTAGATGAAAAAGAGCCGGAAACCATCAAACTGGGGATATCCATCGAGGGAGCGTTGCGGACCGAAATAATTGCCTTGTTACGTGACTTTCGGGACATCTTCGTGTGGTCTCCATCCGATATGACCGGAGTTCCTCGGCACATTATCGAGCACAAGCTGAATGTAGATCCAAACGTCAGACCCGTCAAGCAAAAGAAGAGGGTTTTCGCTCGAGATCGCAATGATGTAATTAACGAGGAAACCCTTAAGATGGTTCGAGCCAATATTTTGAAAGAAGTGCTCTGGCCTACCTGGCTGGCCAACCCGGTCCTTGTTCGCAAACTTGACAATTCCTGGCGCATGTGCCAAGATTACACTGATCTAAAACAACACTGTCCGAAATACTGCTACCCCTTGCCCATAATTGACCAAATGGTGGAGGGTATTACCGGTTATAGGACCCTTAGCTTCCTCGACGCGTATAAAGGATACCATCAGATTCATATGGACGGGGAGGACGCAGAGAAAACGGCTTACATCACAGAGATTGGAGTGTACTGTTACGATAAAATGCCGTTTGGGTTAAAAAACGCTGGGGCCACCTACCAGCGTTTGGTTAATAGGGCTTTCCACAGTCAAATCGGAAGGAACATCGAGATATACATGGATGACATGGTTATCAAGAGCAACTTGGACAGCAGGGTGGTCGAGGACATACAGGAAATCTTCACAATCCTGCGCAGAATTAACATGAAACTCAATCAAAAGAAATGCGCCTTCTATGTGGGTTCTGGGAAATTCCTCGGATTTCAAGTGTCAAAGGACGGAATCAGCATGGATCCTTCAAAAGTCGAAGTAATTCTTTCGATGGAAGCCCCGAAAACCGTAAAGGATGTACAGAAATTCACAGGATCTCTAGCGGCGCTTAACAGGTTTTTGTCTCGAGCAGCAGAGAGAAGTCTCCCTTTCTTCAAGACTCTAAGAAAAGGGAGAGGTTTCCAATGGACCGAAGAGTGTCAAAAAGCCTTCCAAGAGTTAAAGGAACATCTCAAGCAACTCCCTATGTTAGCAAAACCACAGCCAGGGGAGGTTCTATACATATATTCAACCGCCCGAGAAACGGCCATATCCGTGGTTCTGATTCAAAAAAAAGACAATAAAGAACTCCTTGTATACTTTGTAAGCAAAGTCCTGCAAGGGGCGGAGTCTCGGTATACCCCTATGGAAAAGCTTATCCTAAGCCTCGTGCTCGCTGCCCGATGGTTGCGTCCTTACTTTCAAGCTCACCCCATACAAGTCTTGACCGAGCAACCTATCCAGCAGATCCTCCTCAAACCGGAAGCTTCAGCCAGAATGATGAAATGGGCGGTCGAGCTGGGGGAGCACCATATCGAGTACAAGCCCTGCACGGCCATAAAAGGGCAGGCATTCGCAGATTTCCTAGTGGAAATGCCCAGAGCCCCGGAAACCACGCAGGAATCAACGCCGAAAAAGCAACTATAGAAACACCCCCCCGACAGATCCACAAGCCTGGACTCTGTACGTCGACGGCTCTTCTTGTGAAGACGGGGGAGGAGCAGGTGTCATCCTAGCAAAGCCAGCAGCCCCTCGAGAAGTCGAGGAAGTAAAGGAATATGATGCAGAATATTCCTACACTCTGCGGTTTGGTTTCCCGGTTACCAACAATGTCGCTAAATACGAGGCAATGATTACAGGGTTAAATATGGCCCTCAAGTTAGGAGTTCGAACCTTGCAAGTTTTTAGCGATTCTCAAGTTGTGGTTAAGCAGATCAAGGGTGAATATACAGTCCGTGAAGAACACCTCCGACCATATCTCGAGAAAGTCCCAGAAATCAAAGACGAGTTTGAAGAATGCACCATCTCTCACGTCTTCAGAACCAGCAACAAAAGAGCCGACGCATTGAGTAAGCTCGCCTCATCCAACTTCGCTAATCTCAATCATAAAGTGTGGGTTGAGATGCTCCTTGAACCCAGCATCCACCCTAAAGTCTCCCTGGCTATTACCGAAGATAAGGATACATGGATGACTCCTTTCATCTGATTCCTCGAGAATGGAAC